TTTCCACAATCGGCACATTTATGGGATTTCTTTCCAGTATGGATCTTCTGGTGTTGAAAAAGAGTGGAATTCTGACTGAAACTCTTTTCACATTCAGCACATTTGTAGGGTTTTTCATCCAAGCTTCTTCTTAGCCTGCTCAAAACGGAGTCGAAGCAAATGGTCACTCCCCATTTCTGTCGTCGGACTGTTTTAAGCTTGCTCTTGTTCGCATAGGCTTTTCCTTGACTTGAGACCCGAGAAATTCTCCCTTTATGTTTTGTTAGCCTCATGATGAAAAGCTGAATGTATTTGTCAGACAGTCTACTGTTTTCTAAACTAAAGTCTCATTTCCTAGAGCTAGCAAGGTCAGTATTTTCTCTATCCCGCCACCGCCCTAGCCAGACCTTCGCATATTATTGTCTTAGTGGTTATTCATTGTACAAGATGCAGACATGATATCCTGTCCACAAGCACTATTAGAACAACTCTCTCTATTCACTGCATTAAGAGAAATTAGCTGTACATCCTTGTTTTAAGAGATCTTGTCTTTTTACTAGCTATGATGATGTCTTCAAGATACAAAACTATCTTTACTTTCATTCAAACTGTTTTGTCAGCTTGTGATTGAGGTTTTAAATTGCTGTGTAGCACTTTGAATCTGTTTCATGAATTCTTTGTTTCCTATGTTGCTCATTCAAGGATTCCATCATCTTTCTATTTTTATCAGTGTCTTCTTTAGAAGCACTTATTAATTCATGATAGTTCTTTTTTTTACTTCACAGATTATTTCTGATCTGATTTCCTCTATACCTCTCTGCAGTTGTTTCTTTAGTTCAGATGCTATTAAGTCAGAGATTTCAGTGGTGTGATTCCCAGTTTCTTCTATGCTAGTGTGTCCTGCATTTGTTTTGGGTGGGCTCGGGGCCTGAGATTGCATTTTGTATAGCACTGTCCTCTGACCTTTGGTTTAGAGCTTTGGTGCAGTTATAACTTTAGCACCTACCAAAATTCTTAACCATGAAAGATTATGTGGTTAAGGCAGTTACAATTTTGTATTTATAGAACTATAATTAAGAACACTAATAATGGGTAGTGATATTTAGCAGTTGACAAACTTTTTTACAGCTCATGGGTTTGTATTTTAGACCATAAGAACAAACATTATGCTGTGTAGCTAAACAGATATTAAATTGGGAATTTGTGTCTCATTTAGTTCCCCTAGGTTCTGTCTGATCACCTCCCCTTGATGTACCTGGTGTCTTCCAGGCAGACTAGTTCACCCTGGTTACCTTTTGTGCCCCCCTTTTTTGTTGATGTCATCTTTTTTTCTACTTGAGATGTGAACCATGTGAACACAGGTCAGAAAATACAGCTGCGCTGAAGCACTTCAGCTGACTGGAAAACAGGAAGAATGGGCTGGAGAAGCTGGGGTGGCTAATTCCAGACCAATTTTCCCCAAAGGGCTTGTGGTTCAAGCCTGAAACCAGAGGGTGCTCTGGGCAGGGAGGAGCAGGACCATGTAGTGCAGACTACAGCAAGGAGGGACAAGTCACAGCTGGGGTTGCAGCTTATTCAGTTCTGGCCTCCTGCTGTTTGAAGTTAATCAACCCATTGGTGGAAGAATCATGAGAGGTCACGGCAGCACTGCCATCAAGCTCAGGGTCAATCTTCTTAGCAAGCTGCTTTCCCAGTTTCACTCCCCACTGGTCAAAGCTGTTGATGTCCCGGATGACGCCCTGCACAAAAGTCTTGTGCTTGTACAGCACAGTCAAGGCTCCCAGCATGAATAGTGTCAGCTTGGTGAACACAATAGAATTTGCTGGGTAATTTCCTTTGCAGACCTTGTGTGGCAACAGCTTCTCAAGATCCCCTGGACTCTTGCCAGCAGCCTGGAGCTCCTTTCGGACCTCCTCGGATGATTTTCCCTTCATCAGGGCTTCTGTCTGGGCTAAGAAGTTGGCCAGCAGGACTTTGTGATGTAGACCCTTCCATATTGGGTGTTGGGTCCGAACCAGGATGAGAAAGTCACAGGGTATCATCTTGGTGCCTTGGTGGATGAGCTGGTAGAATGTGTGCTGGCCATTGATCCCTGGCTCCTCCCACATGATAGGGCCCATCTGGTGTTTCACAAAGATGCCCGGCTTGGTGATGTACTTCCCGTTGGACTCCAAGTCACCCTGCTGGAAGTAGGCAGGAAAACAGTGCAGGTACTGGTCATAGGGCAGCAAGGCCTGTGTCTCACAGCCAAAGCAGTTGATGTACCAGATGCCCAGCAGCTCCAGGAGGACAGGGGCGTTCTTTTCCAGAGGCACTGTCTGGAAGTGCTGGTCCATCCAGTGAGCTCCTGAGAGCAGCTGCTCACAGTTGTCAAAACCCACATGCAGCACAAAGGAGAGTCTAATGGCTGACCCCAGTGAGTAGTGGCCACCTACCCAATCCCAGACTTTGAATAAGTTTTGAGGGTCAATTCCAAACTCCTTCACTTTGGCCATGTTGGTAGAGAGGGCAACAAAGTGCTTTGCCACTGCAGAAGCATCCTTGGCAGACACGAGGAACCACTCCTTGGCCATCTCTGCTTTGGTGATGGTCTCCTGGGTGGTAAAGGTCTTGGAGGCGGTGATAAACAGAAGTCTCAAGGTTCAAGTTGGCCAGGGTTTTGGTAATGTGGGTTCCATCAATGTTGGAGACAAAACACACCTGGGGACCTCCTGAAGAGTATGGCTTAAGTGCTTCCGTCACATGAGGGGTCCCAGGTCAGTCTCCAATGCCGATGTTGAGGATGTCTGTGATGGCTTTGCCTGTGTATCCCTTCCAGTTGCCACTCTGGACTCACTAGCAGATTTCACCTTGTCCAGAACCTTGATGATCTCTGGCATCACATCCTTGCCATCCCCCAGCATAGGTGTATTTAACTGGTTTTGAAGGGCCACATGCAATACTGCCCGAGCCTCGGTGTAGTTGATCTTCTCACTGTTGAGCATGCGCTCCCAGGCACCCTCCACACCCTTGGACTTGGCCAGTTCCACCAGCATCTTCATGACCTCCTCTGTCACAAGGTTCTTGGAGTAATCCAAAGGATATGCCCATGGTTGGTGTTGAGAGTCAAGCTGAAGTGGTTGAAGCGTTCTTTGTTGGCTTCGAACAGGCAGTGTAGGTTGGGCTCAGAGCTGTGCTCATGGTGCCACTGCTGCAGCTTTTGGAACTGCAGGTTCTGGGTGAGCACGGGCATGGCAGGACCAGCAGGGTGCATGGGGGTGAGCATGCGCGAGGACGAGCATTGCGAAGGGTGGGCGGTGAGGCCCTGCCCCCTCTCCCGATCAAGAGAGAGAGAGAGGATGCTGTCCTAAATCTGGGCCTAGCAAAGTGTCTCAGCTTACCAGGTCTGGCTCTACCAAGTTTGATCTAGTCCAGATGTGCCTGGCTTGGGTCTGGCTGCTGTGCTTGGCTTCCCCCTATTGCAGCCAGTGGAAGTGAACCTGCTGTGCCCCTTTGGCAAGATGTTCAGCTCATGGATTAGCTGGGTGGTTCTGGCCCCTGGCCTCCCTGCAGGGACTTCAGCAGCAGAGTTTCACACTAGGCCTGTCTGATAGAAGAGGTTTCTGCGAGTGTGCGGATGGACCCCCCACACTCACCAGGCCTGGGCTGGGGCTGGAGGGGTCCAGCGAGCCTGGTGGAATGTCCCATACACTGCAAGTAGGATTTTCTAAGGAAAGCAGCCTGCTACACGACACCTTTTCTGCATACCTTACATTCTGGATTGTTCACTTCCCTTTCTCTGCCATCTTAGAATCCTTTTGCTTCTCTGATTTTGCAGCACTGGTTTCCAGAGGTGCCTCCACAGTCCCTTGTCTAGATAATGCTCACTTTATCCATCTGCATCATCTGGGGTCTATGGGCAAAGTGGCAGTGCCCACAGATTCACAGAACACTGGCTGCTTTGCAGAACTCTAGTCTGCCTAAAAGCAGATCCCATTGCACGTGGAGCTGCACTGAACTCTCATAGAGAAGAAGCCTTTCAGAGCAAGAGCTCAGCATGCACCTTTGGCTCCTGGTGTTTTCCCATGCAGAAAGAATGCATCTTGACCTCTTCCTGTCTGTGCAGAGAGGTTGAGATTGACATCAACCTTCTGAGTATACAATTAAACACTCCTCGGCTTGGGCAGTTTCTTTCCTTCCACTGGAGAGAGGGCTCTGCCGATCTCAAATTTCATCTCTTGTCTTTATTTCTGAATCTTCTTATGGAGCTGGTTTGCAGCAAATGGTTCCTGAACCAAGAAATGCTGGACCAGAAAAAATGGTGGGTGAGGGGATCCTTGTCACTTGTGACCATAGAAGGGAGAGCAGTTCTTCGGTGGGGTCAGTGATCAGCACAGGAGTGCACTGGTATTGGAAATCATCAAGCATAAAACATGGGGCATGGAAATCAATGAAACTGCAAATAAATAAACCTGCCAAGAATGGCCTGGTTTTAATGCCTCTTTTCGCAGTGCTGTGACTGAAGGACAGAGAATTAGGAGACTGTGTCCTTGCTACTCTTGCAAGCCATCATGCTTAAGAGAATGAGATGCAGTGGCCTTTGAGGAGAGGCCACTCCACATGTGTGTGGGTCCCCAGAAGGCTTTGAGCTCAACACAGTACGCAATATCTGGCTATGGACATGGAGTTCCTCAGAGTTAAAAATGTTGGGCTGAGAGCAGAGGCTCAGAAGACAGGGTGGCCCGGAGCTGGGCACCTGTGATCCCATCTGTGCAAGTGCAGGTGCTCGGTGTGGCTGCAGTGCTCTCCAGTAGACCTTGGAAGGGCATGGTAATCAAATCGATCTGTCTGAGGCCACTCAAGGCTCAAGTGTTCAGCTGTCTCATGCTCAGACCCAGGCAGCCACTTCCACTCAGTCTGCAAGGTGGCAGAGGTGATGAGGGCATCTGCAAGGCGGATAGCAGGGACCTGAGCATATGCTCCAGGGGCCTTGATGGGGCAGACTGAGGCCATAGACATATCCTGCAGGAAGTGAAGCTTTAGAAATTGAGAGGTGAGATGGGTGACCCACGGGCATCTGCCCTGCAGAATTGAGCGCAGGGCACAAAAGCTGCAAAGCTGCTTGTGAAGAGTTTTCATCTGGCCCAGGAAGGCACAGCATGAGCCAGGATGGAGTGTCCAGAACACACTCTCCTGCATTTGTTCTGGGTGTGCTTGGGGCCTGAGATTGCATTTTGTTCCTTCTCTTTGTCATTTTGTATAGCTCTGTCCTCTGACCTTTGGTTTAGAGCTTTGGTGCAGTTATAACTTTAGCACCTACCAAAATTCTTAACCATGAAAGATTATGTGGTTAAGCCACAGCCTGCACAGAACCAAGGTTCACCGTTTCCCAGACCTCCACAGGGCTTTGTGTGTCATTTCAATGTGCAGGTTGACACAATCTCCTTACATCAACATTTTCCTCTCTTGGACCCACTTGAAGAGCTACAGTGTGGGTGGACTCAGACTATCCCCAAGGAGCCTCAGTCTCAAATCACCTTGAGGGGCTGCTGCTCTGCAATGCCTGGCCTACTCTTCTCTCTCTTCTTGGCCTCAGAATCTCAGGCTTCCAGCAGGTTTGCAGCCCGGACTCTCCTGAAGCCCAGACTGTGATGCAAGGCCTGTGGATCCTGGATTTGCAGTCTCTAAATTCTGGGGCAGCAGCACATCAAGCCCAGGTAGCATGGCTTGTAATTTCTGCACAATTCTTAGACACGAATGGACATTTCTAGGTGGAGATCTCTGGTTTCATAGTGTTGATCATTACCCTGAAGTGGGGAGGGCAAAAAAAGGGCTAGGAAAGCACCATGGCCTTCGGGGCTCCATGTCCGCTGTGGAAGGCCTCCGTGGAGAGTGGTGAGACTCTCCCACGGCCCCTGATCCTGGACCACATGGTCACATCCTCGTCCTTCAGCAGGCTCTGATGTGCACACTGCAGGAGTGTGGGTGGGGCATGGCATTCATCCTGGTGAATCTGCAAGGCTAATCACCAAGATGTGGATGAGCTTGGTGGGATCCTTGGGCTGGTGGGTAATCAACCAGTGGCTCTATGGCCATAATGCTGGTTGGTGTTCAGAGGTTTGTGAACTTTCCTGATCCGTGTCCCTTTGAGATACTGCCTTCCAATCAGCATAGATTCTCAGACTTCAACCACATCCTCCTTCCTGATTCCAGCTTCCTCCAGATTGAGACATGGAAAGGGACTTTTCATCACATCTGAGAGGCAAGAGTGAAGACCAGCTTGGAAATCCATGGCACCGTCACTGACTGAGTCCATGGAGCTGCTGCCTTTGCTTCCAGGTGACTGCGTAGCTCTGTAGATGACAGAGGCCCAAGTAGAAGCTGCCGACACTGTGGGAAATGAGAATTTTCCAGGATGCATTTTGGATTTCTGCTGCTGCATCCTCTTTGAACTGTCAGTGATTTTACATTATGAAGAAGGCAGAGTGGGTGCCAGCGAGACTCAGGAGAATAGAAAGAAGGACACAGTGTCATCAAAAAGCATGGTGAATGTTTGAGTTTTAAAAAGTTGATAGAACCATGTGCTCAGCCAGCGAGAGAGCTCTATGGACTAAGCACTTGCTTAGGCAAGTGCAGGGGCTGGGTTTCCATACTGGGAACCACATACCATGAAAGGTGCACTCTGGTGATCTGAGCCAACCACCGAGTCTTGGCATTGTGGAGCATGCCTGTAATCCTAGCACTGGGGAGGCTGAAAACAGGAGAAGCACTATGAGTCTGAGCTGCGTAGAAAACCTGT